ATATATATATACACACACACATATATATATATAAATATATATTTGATAGTACATATACGTATACATATGTATACACACACACTGATACATATATATACATGTATATGCTCATTTTTATTTATATATCTATATATATATATGTATAATATAAACATTTGATAATAAATATATATATACATATGCATACACTTACACACAGATACAGATATATATAAATATAAATATATATATATATATGTAAATAAGGTTCATAACTGCGCACATGCTCAAGAGCTCCTCTCACACACGTGTTCATATATTTGCACTTTCTACTGCTGATTGCAATATTGCCTGGCCCGCAGTGCAAGCTGAGCTGTTTTGAGCTGTTTAGTAAATAATGAATGGCTCAGAAGAACAGGTGTGTATGTCTCAATATAATCCAGTCGAGGTACAAAGCAGATCATACATGCATCCGAAAAAAAAGAAAGCTTTGTAGCCTCTTCAAGGTCCCATGAGCGCTAGAGTTGAACGCGATATTCCTTCGTTTTAATTACCCTCGCCTCAGGGTCACGCCGATAAGCTACATTGCCGCGTTCTAAAAATAAACCATGATAGGTGCGTTGGGACTGGGCCCCCTGAGAAGATATCCGATTCCAAGTACAGCCGCTACACCTACCAGTGCCGTCTGAGTTGGCTGTTAACAAGGCAAAAATATGGACTGTCAACATGGGAAAACGGGGAGAGAATCCCGATTTGTGTTCTGCCATTCTTTATACCTGATAATTTAGTATCCCGTACAAGCAATAGAAACTGCCTTGGCAGAGTGAACTTATCGGTGTAAGCTAAGCACAGATCTAAAACACTAAAACCCCTAAGGACACAAAGTGGCTATCATACACCATAGCTGTTCAGCCAAGTACCTTATTAATGCAGCATTCACTTTCCAGTTGATACCAGGGAAGGCAGAAAAAGATAAAACTCTACAAACCCTAAAGACACTGGCTACCATACACCATGACTGTTCAACCTAGTACCTTTTTATGCAGCATTCGCTTTCCAGTTGATACCAGGGAAGGCAGAATAAGATCCAACGTCATCGGATACTCTTCAATAGCCGCGCCAAACGGATGGCTGCCCTTTTGGCGACGGTAGTACCTGGAGGCCGGGCGGGATTCCCAGAGCGTGTAGGTTGTTAGAGTCATACGAGTTATACAGCCCAGACATATGAATTACAGGCGCGGCTTGTTCATCGTAAGAGATATACTGGGGGGTGGTACTGCTATCACGGGAGTTGTGTGTAGCCACAACGTCACTTGGCGGGAAAGGGTATACGCACACCATTCGTATACATGCTTGGTATATACATTGTTTTATCTGTACTATGTGCATCGCGATACCTTGATGTGCGCATACATACTTGGTCTGTACATTGTTTTGTCTGTACTATGTGCGTATACATGCTTGGTATATACATTGTTTTATCCGTACTATGTGCATCGACATACCTTGGTGTGCGTATACATGCTTGTTCTATGCATTGTTTTGTCTGTACTACGTGCGTATACATGCTTGGTCTATACATTGTTTTGTCTGTACTATGCGCGTATACATGCTTGGTATAAAAACTGGGTTATCTCTACTATGTGCCTCGACATACCTCGCAATGTTGCGTCTCTTTCCATCAACCCACAAACCAGATAACCGACTCACTTCCAAGTGACGCAACAACGCTATGCACGCGGTATCCGCCAAAGTAAATGTACCACCAACCATGTTCTGCTTTTGTTTCAAGTGAAGATCCAGTTCATCTAGGAATGCCTCGAGTTCCTCCATTTTCTGCGTGTACGGCACAAGCGATGTATGTGAATTGAAGAAGCGAAATGGCCACTAAAAAGAGGTTTAGGATTCAGAAACTTTGAAAGAAAAAATCCATTGCGTCCTATACCTAGTTACATGTACACATAGGTAGGCAAGTACCCATGATAGGTATATCCACGTGCTATAATTAACAATGGAGGACTTAAGTACCCATTTTAGGTAAATAGACAATGGGGGACTTAAGTACCCATAATAGGTATATCCACGTGCTGTAATCGACAATGGAGGACTTAAGCACCCATATTAGGTATGTCCAGGTGCTATAACTAACAATGGAGAACTTAAGTACCCATATTAGGTAAATCCACGTGCTATAATTGAAAATAGTGCTATAATTGACAATGGAGCACTAGTGAATAAGAGTATAATTCAAAATACAAAGCTATACATGACAAACAACCATATTAGCTCGACACAATTCAACAGCACTTATGTAAATTTTCTCATATTAATCAGATTGATCGAGTACTTACCTGGCTCGAAACATTATCGTCTTCCAGATCGTTAATCAGTTGCTGAGTCTTCTTGATCACATTGTCGTATGTACTTGCAAGCGCTGGATTGTCTTTCTTATGCTGTGTAGCCGTACCTAACCTGAAGGGCAACGATACAACTGTTCTTAGCGAATACCATAATACAATATTCAATTTCAGACTAGGAAGTGAGCTGAGACGATGACCCGTACTGCCAAGTAGGTCCGTTTGATTCCACTCGCAACGATGAACTCTGTGGGACTTCTCTGCACCATAGCTTCAGGAAAACATCACATAACAATCAATAACGCAATCTGTGGGTACAGTACACACCTTTGCATCAGCTTATCAATCGTCATATAACGAGCCACACCAGACTGTTTCCGATAGAGAACTGAGTTCGCCATACTGAGACATCGCTGGAGGGTAAGATGTATTTAGTGAGTACACCTGGTTATAGCAGAGATAGTTCACCTCGTATCAATATACTATCGGGCACCGTCCCATGCTGATAAAATTGTATTGGCAAAACCTCACGGAACACACTGCGAGACCAGAATGTAGTGAATGATGTAGGCCGATAAACTCGGGAAAATTAGATGATTATTCATGTCCGTACAATTTGATAAACATGCACGAGATTTCATCCACAAACCCGCACAATTAAACCAGCATCCGTATTCCTAAACACACCTTTGTCCAGTCAGTGTTCTCAGCCGACTGAGTAGCATCTGTCGGAACGACGGAGGGCTCTGGGAAGTTCTTCTCGATATATGAGCATATGTAGTGGACATCTGTAATCACTTTCTTGCCGTGCACAAGAGTTGGCACATCGGCGCTGCAGGTTGGTATATGACCCAAAAACAGTTAGAAAATGTAGTATACTTACAAAGCAAAAAGAACACCAATGTACACCTACAAGACTCACCCCCAAGAATCCTTCGGATAGCTACATTTATCAGATAGATGTAAACTCCCTATCCATGCAATATAAACTCGGGAGCTATAGATATATGCAGCAACTGACCTTGCCATTTCTCGCACTGAATTAGATACGAACTAATACATTGACTCTAAAAACTAATCTGGTACCTTTGCATGTAAAAGCAAATAAGCTATATAATGCGAGTTTTTCTTGAAAAGGTTTAGAACATCATCGGATTATATAGGACAAACAATTAATAGATGAATATGAATGAAAATGTATTTAATACAAATAAGAATATATATCCGAAAATACGAGTTTATCTATAGATACAGCTCTCCATCCATCCATCCATCCATCCATCCATATATATATATATATGAATATATTTATATGAACCTATTAAACATAAATGTAATGATATATATATAAGAACATATATGAAATGACATTATATATATATATATATATATATATATATATACGAGACTACCAAACGACTCCACACACACACACTACACACACACACACACATAATATATATATATATATATATATATATATATGAGTGTTTTCTTGAGTGTGTTGGTGCCTCCGTCTTCCCTTGTCAACGTGAGTGCGTGTATGTGTCTGTGGCTTTGTGTGTAGGGTTTAATGTACATATGTACATATAAATAAATTTAACATGCATGCAGGAAGATACCTGCATCCTTATTGATATATGTTTGTTGTGTTTGATCATTGTATATACATACTTCTCGTTAAGCTCCTCAATGTACCAGGGAGCAATATCTTCGTCAATTAGGGTATTCAACACAGAGTCCTCGTATGCCACATCCTTTGCTTCCAACACCTGTCGTACCACCATCGACTCCACGCCAGGTGGGAAATGAAACAGAAGAACTGTACCGGCCATACTGACCTATTATTATTCTCGGAACGTTCGTTTAAGTCGTGTTCGATGGATACACTTACGGGAATGTAAGCAATGTCTCGCCCCTTTGTAGTCCAGCAGACTTCAACATCTCACCCTTGGACCACACCAAGACGAAACTTCGAAGTCCCCCCAAAAAAATCAAATACAAATCGGTCACGCATTTTTTTCGAATTCATTTTATTGTAAAACATAGAAATCGACATATAGCCTCCACTCCAGGAGTCCAGTGCCCCGCTAAAATAGAAACAAATATTTATAAACTGAGAAAGCATAGCCAGATGAAATCAAACCTGATAAGCGCGTGCATAATATAGTACATACATACCTGCACTATGCACACAAGCAGGAACCTTCTGCATGCACAGAAGGCATGTACGCGTTACAGAAGTGTTTCAGAGGTTGGGTTGCCGGAAGCTGTGCTCAGGCATTCGCAGCGCAACTATGCCACACACAATCGCAATGTGCAAATTCAGAACAGAGAACACCCCGCCTTACAACAGTCTGCAAATATCTCTCACACAATGAATGGGAAAGCAAAGCAGTTGCTCTGTCCTAAGGTCCGTTCAGTTAGTTTTATACAGTATAGGGGTAACCAAACACAGGCTTCCGTGACAACCACACCTGTATTCGATAACAGTGCACTGAAGTATGAACATATGCACACGCTCCCCTTCTCATCTGCTATGGGTGCTGAGGTCACAGGCGTGGACCTGAGCATGTTCAGTGATTCCGATATAGATTCATCTTGCACTTGGAGTGACTCTCATAAGCATGATGTATTTCAAGAGATACGTCAAGCGCTCTTCCGGCACAAGATGCTCTTCTTCAGGAACCAAGTTAATCTCACACACGTACACCACCAACACTTTGCTTCATTGTTTGGGCCTTTCGCGAAGGATGCCTATCCATCGACTATACACGGATGTGAGCATGTCAAACCCGTTATTAAAGAAGCACACACACATGTACGCATGGTGTTTGGCTCGGGCTGGCACACAGACTCGCCCTTTCTGGCTGGACCACCGCATATCACCACCTTAAGGAGTGTATGTGTACCACCCTATGGAGGGGATACTATATTCGCCAACACTTCTTTGGCGTACAGCACGCTTTCAGAGACTATGCAGTGTGTAATAGAGCCACTGATGGTGCGCATGTCATTGAAGGATGTACTGGCACAAGCTCAGGTGGATGCCGGCGACGATGAGACCACCCCTCTAGGCCGACTGGCAGCTACGAAGTACAAGGGTGTGTCTGCGGATGTGCTGCAAGGGGTGAGGGGGACATTACACAGGCTGGTGGGTGTGCACCCGGTGACATGGGAGAAGGCATTGTTTGTGGATGGTACGTATACAGCGGGGATAGACGGTATGAGCGACTTGGAGTCCCGGGCCATAGTAGTGTTCCTGCTGCAACACATCACACAGCCAGCGTACACGTGCAGGTTAAGATGGGAGAAGGATATGCTGGTGATCTGGGACAACCGGCTGTGTATTCACCAGGCCATGAACGATTACGATGGGCATCGGCGAGAGCTGTACAGAACCACCAACCGCTGCGTGTGAGAGAGATACTACAACAGAGTCTATCACGATTATCAAGTGAGTTATAGTTTACAACAATTAATCGCACGTACAAATGGCTTCGCGTCACTGTGACGGGACGGCGTATCTGCCCCCATGTATATGTATCGGAGGCTATTTTTAACTCTCTCTAGTTGGATTTTTATACACATTACAACTAGTGCTGAAAGATACATCACTCCAGGAGTAGACACCTATACTTATGTCTCGCCAAAGGACAGAAACTTACCCCTCTATACGACATACTTATGTCAACTGTCACTTAATACTTATTCAAACTTTACTCTCTAAACCTAACCAATAACAAGAGTTATATACCCCACATAAGCACACTTCTACCGGCGCAATAGAAAGAGATTAAGACAAAGACCAACACTCATTTATAAACCTAAAGGCGAAACATATTGCCACTAACACTAAAGCATACTCAACCCCGCTGACTCGTCACCACCTATCCAACATTTACCAATAGGAGGAAGATGACATATAGCTAAGTTACACACTAACGCTGAAGACGCTTTTGTTTGAAGACATATTCCTATCCCCTGTGGGTACTACAATAAAGTTATGTTGGGTGCATACGTAAGCTACAGTTGGTTATCTATCCTACCCTAGCACCAGTGATTGGTTCAGTTCCATTAGGCCAATAGAATCGAGTACCTTACCCATCGGCATATGAGTATTGGCTATACAACATAGTTGTAGGGTTGAGTAAACATAAGGTTCTATAGTTTCTCCACAAGTGGGTAGCCCACAGAGATCAGGAGAAAAGTCTATATTTTTCAATGTATGTGTATTATATGCATGTGTATATCTATCTAGGTATATGTGTAGACATGTGTGACCCCTCTTGCTAAAAGATAGATGATCCCCGCGGAGCCGGGATATCACTTCGGAATAATAGTGTATAGGGTAAGATAATATATCACTCTATGGGTGTACATACCTACCTACAAAGATATCTCAGGTGACCCTGTCTCTCTTAGGGTATGGGTGTAGGTGTGAGTGTGGTGTGCATTGGGTACCCTTTTGTTCTCGTGGTACTGGGACATATGATGAGTAGTGAGATGGAGGGATAGTGTATAAGGGCTACCTATGAGTGTAAGGTGATAAATATAGTTGAGAGGGAGCTATGTGGCTGTGTATAATAAATTAAGTAGTGATAGATAGATGTTTGTAACTACTGTGGTAGATGGGGAGTAAGTAACAGGCGGTCAATGGTATAGTTTTTGTGATGATATTGAATTGAGCTAAAAATACAACACAAGGGGACATCTTATCCCGGGTTAAATTTATATAATTCTCACCTGTGATGTCATTCTTAATCTTATTACATTGCATTAATAACCATGGCTAGATATTACCCCAATTCAGTATAGTCTATATCCCCTCTGTTTTAGTTCCCTATTCAACTAGTATATCTGTGTTACACTCATAGCTCTATACATCTATGTCTCCCTCTCTAAACCTATACTCCATATACTTACTACACTTAGTCACACTCTATCACCCATATATCTACTAGTAGACAGTCATATATAGGATCTATAGCTATAGGCGTGAGGGAGTATAATGTGGCTAGTGTATCAGTCACATCTACTCTATTGCAGATAGTGATAAAGGGATCCGAGAGCAAAAGGTGCCCTGAGTGTCGTCAGAGAGGTGCCACTAGGAGATTATAGGTTCGATGGAATCCCTCGTGGGATGCCTTTCCCTCCTTTGCAAACATCGACATAGCTCCTTCTCAACCTCAATTATCACAGGATAGCTCATTCTTTCATCCCAAATGATAGCCTCCGAATCTTCTAGATGAGGCAAATTTGTTTTATGATGTGGAAGGGATGCATTGCACGATAGCTTTTCAATTGCAGTACTTTTGTGTTGTGTTGCCCAGTTTTTAACTGATCCTGTTATACAGGGATACTTTACCAGGGGTCGGGTTAAGTGCGGTCACCCTACTTCTTTACTGCAAAGCTGACTGTGTGTTGGGACAAGGGGGTATGTCTTACATAGACTTACTTCACAAGCCTTGAGGACATTCTAATAAATCTGATGCCCTCCAGGTGCAGTTATTGTAAAACCCTACAAACACTTTGTAAAGGACACTGTCACCTTAGTGAACCATTCCAATACTAAGCTTGTCTGTTGAAGGTGGGGGCAAACTCCATATCAGGCCTTCTTCTAGCCTCACACTATCTGATTACGGATTTTGGTTAAAAATTGATACTAGGCTACATTTTGGTCATATCAGTATAGATCAACCCTACTGATCCAATCTAGTCTGTTTGTGCACGATTGTTCGATTTGGCTTATCATGATATACAAGACAAACCTTCAGTGCGTCACATTTTGCATGTTAATCAGATCGAATTGCTCGGATTTATTCCGTTTTTTTTGCCTTTTCCGGTCTGTATTTGCCCAAAATTGCAATACTCCGTTTTCGGTTCTTTGCGTATTTGTCCTTGTTGGAGTCGAAAACCTTTAATGTGAACGAAGAAAGAAGTCATTCGAACATGATAACCCAGCACGGAGAAAAACTACGCGCTCAAAGATGAATATGACCGCTGGTTGATATACAACACACTAATCCGATTAACTGATATGCGACACCAAAAACCCGACTCTCTGGAATACAAACATGTCAAATACTATATTGAGATCCAACGCGAGACCTTCAACTCAATCTTCGTGAGAAAACGGGCGTACCTCTTTTAGGCCGGCTACGTACTTCTGATGGTACTCGTCAATCTGCTCCTTTGTGGGGTATTGGAGCTACAGCAGACCCGAAGGTAGGCACAAAAATGCAGAGATGACACGTGTTAATACCGTACCACACGAGGCCACAGCAGTGTATACAATCTAAAGAGCTCTCGTCATGAGACGAAAGTAGCAATATGTAAGAAACGAAGTAAATGAACGAATATACGACATACCATGGGGACGTCGATCGGGTTGCCGGTTACGACCGTCACAAGGCCGTGGAAAGGTGTCATCAGCTTTGTGTTTGTGAGAGCGACCGGCGCGAACCCAATAGCATCTTGAATCTACGTACATACGCAACACGCGAGGAGAAAATAACCATATTTGTTGAGAGTGCCCCCCCCCCCCCCGGGTTGCTTCGAGCATAGAAGCAACTATGTGCCGCATATGATAAATGCAACATCTATGTTTCTTAAACTCAGCGGCTGCATTGATAGAGTGGAAAACTATCTACCGCGATGATTTCTTATCACTCCATATCTCTAATGTAGATAGCACGATCACGCAACTTGTTGCTAAAATTATCGGCTCAAATATGAATACGTCAGAATTGAGCGACCTTTACAGCCCGGTAAGCAATAGCAACAAGTGTCTGGTCCTGAAACGCACGCTCTCGTGAACGTGTCTGACCAGGCCCTACTACTGATCCGAAAAAAAAAAGCCATACACAGTTGTGCGTACCTTAGATTGTTGGTCACGGAAAGCGGAACCGCGCTCATTGACCTTCTGAGTGAAGAGATCGGTCTCTCCAAAGCCGAATGTGGGCACCAGAGTAGCACCATTCTTCATGGCAACCCGGATAAAACTGCAGGATGATAAACGGGTTGAAAGTCCGGTGGTTAGTTGCGCAATTAAGTGTAAACTACAACCATCAACCAGGATGCCAACAATTGAAAAGAAACGCAAAGGGGGTGTTGGACGGTCTCGCATTGATAGTGATTGATGGACAGTGTACTATCACGACATACTTTTTTTTGTACATTTCTCTGTACAGTTAAGTGTACAGTCTAGTGTACGTCAATGTTCTTGCATACACAATCACGTTCTCCAAACAAACCAAGCATTGCGAGCCATAGCGAAGACTACAAGATACATACCAGATAGTGTCTCCACGTTCCCAACAATACTTACCCCTTGCGATCGGCCAAGGTCAGGTCAAAGGTGCCCGGATGTGCATCAAGCGACTCGGCAGCGCCACCCAGAGGAATGCAGCAACTCTGTCCAGGTCCTGCAAATCAAAAGACAGTCAGTGCACAAAATAAAAATAGATCCGGGCCACCATGTGACGCTTAACGCTGTGTGTATTTCCTGGAGTGCCGAAGTACATACGGTATTTTATACACAGGATGCTCACTCTACTGCACAGTCCAACTTACCATGCTGGAGAATGTAATTGAAAGATTCCTTATCTGCATCAGCCAGTCCAAGGGATAGGATAAACTCTCGGAAGAAAGGGATCTGCAAATGTATTATCAGACATGATACTTGAGATATCTAGTATATATTTGGAGGATAAGTGTAATTTAGTACGAAAAAGTCTTCCATCTAAACATTGTTATCCGGATGGTACGAGATTCAGGAGCATATCGTCACACTCAACGGACCCGTTACACTAGTTTTGCCAAATTCATTCCATTAACACTCAGAAACTACGTCTGACAAATACAAATCAACTGTATTAAGAGTTCAATAAGAAGGATCAAATCTGCTATCAGAATAAGTAGGACCTGTATCACAGCGAAAGAACAAGTATACACTGTAGTATAGAAACATATAACAATTTCGCCATGCAAAAGCAAGTAAGTGCATTTTGTGTACCTGAACCAGGAGTGAGTATCACGTAGCAGTGACAACCGCACCTATATCTATATTCCACAGTCGGAAGACATGAATAAAATATTCTTGGATATAAAAGTCAGAGGACTGTGACATACATAGTAGAGACAGCGCGTGTTGTGTACCTTGGGCCAAGGAGTGGGTGCACAACGAACAGTGGACAACGATTGACACATTCGTCACAAAAACGGAAGTATACGCTTATATACCTTGAACCATGGAGTGAGTGTCATGAGATGGACATCCAACCCAGGGAAGACATCCTTGAAGCCTGCTCCATTAGTTCCGAATGCACCAAAGGCCCCCATACATATAATACCGTGAGGGTGATATCCGAAGATGTAGTTCTTAGTAGGGTCTAAGTCGCACATCTTCTCGAGTCGCACTGGAAAGTACGAGCACCATATCTCCCAAATGGGTAGGCAACGGAACCACATTAAAGTGCGAGACCCTCGCAAATGAGCCTTCTCGAATACGATTACGATGAAGTATAGCACCATCCAGTCCCAGTAGAAGTATGTCATGAGCACGGTCACTAATAAGGAGATGATTGGTAGGACAGTGTACCCTACCACCATGGCCTTGGCGAAGGGGCCCTCATTAGGACTGATGGATTCATTCATTTTCAAACAACGCGCGCAACGCACGCACGCACACACTTACAATTGAAGTTGGCAGTTTAGTCGCTTATCAGCTGCGTGTACGGAATATCTTTCGGCCTTGTTTTATTATATTTAGAGCAGCAGGCGCCAGCAGCTGAAAAGCAAAACACCGTTTTTGGTATAAATCTAAAATCTCTCTGATTGAATATTATCATATGATCATTTTTATATTTTACTCTAAAAGTGAGAGAAGAGTATTTTTTTGTGTGTATGTACAAGTGTACATACATAGTAGACTCTCTACTAGTAGTAGAGCGGGTTGCGGGGCTTAGTCACCTTTTTTTTAAATTTGTTTTTGTATAAGAAAACAATAACGGTCAAATTTTTGGGAGGCTACATCACGGCCATCTTGGAGTCCGTCAGCCGTATTTTTTTCTTTTTCAATAGGGTCATGGACTCATGTTTTAGTCTTGAAATTTTTAGAATTTGCCCCCCATACATAGAGGGAGTCCGTTTTTGGAAAAATTACATCTTTTTATGTTCTTTTCCACGCTTCACTGTGGCACAGTCCACACTCCAAATTGGGGGGGGGGGGGGGTTTAAACGTTAACAATATGTATATTTATAGCGTTTACGTTAGACTTTTAGGCACACTTCACACGGTTTCTTGGGTTTTGTATTATTAAGTCTCTTTATTAGGACTCTTGGGTTTACGCTTTGTATACTTAATTGGTACGCAACGAGCAAAACTCTCTGATTCACTACTCGCAACCATGTCGTTTATAAGCAAGTATCGGTGGAGTGTCGACGATTCGGCCGTGTTACGCGTGGGTGTGCCAGCTACACGATCTAATACAATCGCACGTGTAGTTACCAGTCCTGCGGTGAACACTGGAGATGCGGGCCGCACCTGGTCGTCGTTCAACTCACAAAGTATGTTCGAGCATGACTGCCAACGTTTAACTATTTGTATATGTGGTTGAGTATTATATACATACGAACGCGTGTCGATGTCTGTGCGTAATATCAGTGGGTAACTCTAGAAATAAACGGTACATGTAGTAGATATAACCAATATAGGATCGCGCACACATACAAAGTCTGATGTATTGTTCCGTTGTATGTGCCTATCATCGTTCGACTTTAACTTGGCAAATAAGAACATAATTTCAAGCGGTTGTGTACAGATTCATGTACATCGTTCATGGGCGTGACCAGTTGAACCGTAAATTCGAAAAACTATACATAGATATATGCGACGTCAGTATCGGCTCCATCTGCTAGTACTGGCATGATATAGCGAACGATGTATTCATTTCTGTATATGTAAGTTTGCGCTCAGATAACCGCATCTGTTAATGTGGGAATAATAGGGATGATTTTCTTTGTAAGGATTTGGCAGGAACTAAAACTTGTTTGACGAGATACAATAGCTGAAGTGACGGAATAGTACTGACTGTTTATCCTGTTTCTCCTGTCGGAATCCCCGCGATTGTTCGGTTACATATTCATATACTTTTGAGAAGTGTAATAGTATGCCTGCAAATTATAGACGTCTTATACTGCTGATAGCCTGTAGTTGAATAAATAGATGTAATCAGAAACAATCTCGAGAACAGCTACATTGTGCACCCTACATTTTCCTTTAGGGCCACTATCCGTGCACCCTACATTTGGCTTTAGGGCTACTATTTAAAATCACCACTGTCCTTATTGAAAAGCTTGAAACATATCGATTTTTGCTATTGATCCTCTCAGCATCTTATATAGGTGCAAGTTTTCCATTCACTGCCCCACACACCTGCGCATGTGTCAATACTTTTGCATCAATTTCTGTACCCAGATGCATCCCTCCTATCCTGTCTATGAACTCAAGAATGCGCTCGATGTGTTTAAACTGAAATTTGCAAACACGATACACTATCAACGACAGCGAACTCCCCTACCATACTCCCTGGGCGCAAGGCATTTGCTGCGAGCTTTATAGATTCGGACGAAGACATCTTTTCGGCTATTGCAGCCGGAGACTTAAATGCGGTACACATTTCCATGCAAAGCGGGACCGACCCGAACGTTATCGATGCTGTAAGTCTACTGCTCGAAATGATTATGTAATCTGAAGATTTAGGAATAGCCAATATGTGTATGACTCACAGGTTGAGATTGTGAAATGCAGGCGATGGTGTACGGGATAGTCGTACGTGTGGCACAAACGATTGCTCTGTAGTGCTGATTGCTTGTTGAATCATATTTGGTTCAAAATCTCGTGAATGCATTTAATAAGCTGGATAAGCAGTTGTATAATTTGCGCGTCGATGTGTGTTATATCTCATATCAGTTATATGTGTATAACCTTTTGCTTGGCGGAATGTCGTTCACGATATAAAAATCATCGTAGCACTTCACGGAAGCGCACATTCACTATGCTCCGCCAGACACCTCAGTCGCTACTGATTGTCGTCGTAAAAAACAACACGAAGTCGGTCTTAGCTCTTGCTACGCAATGTATCTTTTCCCCCATCCAACAGTTCCAAGAACCCGCTCTACACTATGTGATCAGGCGGCAGAACCGGAGGATATTCAGTTTATTCATCACCTTAGGGGTTAACGTGAATGCTAGTGATCTGGTATGTCATTCATTTATAGTGCGGGGATTAAGTTTAGTCGCTATTACTGTAGGATTCTATGGCGATGTATGTCGTTGTATCCTAACCTCCCTCTCGTTGACACCTGTTTGCGTTCATTTTCAGCAAATTGCACGTCTAAATATATCCCTGCTGATCGAACGAGCTTCATATATATCAGCCTAAACCCTGCGATCATCATTCATGGTAAATACTGTTCTAAGCTAGCACCTGAACTTACTATGCTGTATCACATAAACTTTGTCTATGCTGTATCACATAAAACTTCCTCTGTGTTGTATCATATAAAATTTTGTCTATGCTGTATCATAGAAACTTTGTTTATGCTGTATCACATAATCTTTGTCTATGCTGTATCACATAAACTTTCTCTATGCTGTATCACATATCCTTTGTCTATGCTGTATCACATAAATTTTCTCTATCGGCTGGTAACATCAGTTCGGGCGTACGGCGCTTCATGTGGCAGTGGGAGGGGAAGACTCGCTATTTGTCGACTACCTGTTGCGCGCTGGAGCGAACCCAGCAAAACAAGATCAGGTTGGTGTGGTGAGTGTCTTATCTGAAATGTCTGCTCGTTTGTCTACGGCGGTTTAAGATCAGGTTGGTGTGGTGAGTGTCTTATCTGAAAAGTCTGCTCGTTTCTCTACGGTGGTTTGTTTGTACTGGGCCCCACCTGAATTGGTGACATGAGGTCGTGCTACGTTGGCGTGTCAGCTTGCATATGCGAGATTGTAGCAATCGAATATGGCAGTTTAACACTGATTATACCGAACACACTCTGTATTGCACAAATATGCAGAACAATTCGAAGGTACGAAATCGCACACAATCTATTCGCTGCCTACGAGAACGTGCACTGCAACATAGTGACGTCTTACTGTACTACGGGAACACATAGCGTAACGTATATGTCAAATGAATAGTGGATAATCCAGCTCATACACCTCTGCTATACTGCATCTAGTTCGGCAACACCCCTTTACATCTAGCTGTCAGATCAGAGGCAGTCGAGGCAATGGCACTGTTGATGGATGCGGACTCGTCAATCATTGATATGACAAACTTGGTATGCTTATGCGGCATTGTGCATTGGGTTGCAAAGCCCGGATCTTATTAGGCTGCACCACATTAATCAAATACACTCGTACTATATACCACTTTAATTGCTTGTTGTGAACGACCTAAGTGAATCAAACACGCCCGATAGCTGGTGCATTGGTTGCCCAAATCTCTACTGGTAGTGTATGTACAGTGGTAGATGAGCCCAGTGCATTGGTTGCCCATATCTCTACTGGTAGTGTATGTACAGTAGTAGATAAACCCAGTGCATTGGTTGCCCATATATCTACTGGTAGTGTACCCACGGTAGTAGTTGAGCCTACGATCGCGCCTCAGCACCTCGGCGCAGTACGTTACCAGGCTGTAACGCAAATCGATTCATGCACAAAACAGTATCCGGTCCGGATAAACAACCTCTTTTTAAATAAGTATATATTAGTGTGGTTGTTTTAAGTAATGATGTATACTATACCGGTTAAAAATACGATCCGACATAAAATGGCAGTATACATGCATTGACGTTTCATGTACTGAATTGGTATGATTGAGATGAACCACTTCCCAGTATCTCGCACACAACACTCACTGGTTGTCATGCACTGAGTCCATATCGTAGGTAGGTGCAGGTGAACGTCAATACGCACTGAACTGAGGACAGTTTGCGATCTACCTACTTAATCCATAACACAGGAAGGAGTCACTGCCCTCCATTCTACACATAGTACTCAATAGTTAGGTGAAGCGCAGGTCAATACGCACTAAGGACAGTTTTAGATCTACCTACTTGATCCATAACACAGGGAGGAGTCACTCCCCTCCATTTTGCACATAGTACTCACTGGTTGGGTGAAGCGCAGGCCAATACGCACAGAGGACAGTTTTAGATCTACCTACTTAATCCATAACACAGGAAGGGGTCACTGCCCTCCATCTCGCCGTGAAGCACAAGTCAATATACAGCACAGCCTTTCTGCTGAAACGAGGTGCGAAGGGGAAGCAGAGCTTATGGCAGCACGCACCATCCGAAGACTTTCTCACACGGGCGATGCACCTGACCAACGCACCCGGGGGAAAGTTCGGGACTTTACACGAAGGCTTAGGCAGGGAGATTGAGGATCGGATACAGAAGGGTATGATGAAAGCTTACACGACTGTTTGGTGGTGTTTATTTCAATTGTAAACATATTGCGTCGTGAGTCCTGCCATGATTGTATCTCTGCCACATGTCTAGTGTGTGGTTTGTGAACGGGACACCAAGACCGCGTTCTGTGGATTCGACCACTAGTATATGTAA